CAGACGATGGTTGCGATGACCTTGTCTTATACCTTTTCGTCAGGTTTTTCCGATCGTTTTCTTTCCCGTTCCGAGGGATAAATAACAAAAGGTGGCGACTCTTCTGTTTTGCCGGCACCTTATTTTCGCGGTAGCGACAGCTACTAGGAACCTTGACGAGGGAAGAAGGTCAGATAAAGTTCCTTGGTGTGATCACTGCAAGCGTGAATGGCATACACATGAAACATGTTGGAAGATCAAAGGCAAACCTTTGAACTGAAAGAAGAAAGGTGGTCGTGCATTTCAGGCTATAATTCTGATCAAGGGCAGCAATCCCCTACAACTCAGCTTCCATTTACTACGGAACAACTAGACAGACTGTACAAACTCCTCGAGTCTCCAAACCCTTCTTTCTCTATAGCAACAAAAGGTAATTCTGCACTTCTTAGTGTCAGTCCCAGTCATACTTGGATAGTAGATTCAGGTGCCTCTGATCACATGACAGGTGAATCTACTTTGTTCTCTTCATATAGTCCATGTGTAGTTAATCAAAAAATAAAAATTGCAGATGGCTCTTTTTCAGCCATTGCAGGTAAAGGATCAGTTGTGTTGTCTCCAATATTAACTCTTAAAAATGTCTTTCATGTTCCAAACTTATCGTGTAATTTAATGTGCGTCAGTAAATTAGCCCAAGATATAAATTGTCAAACTATTTTTTTTCGATCTCACTGTGTCTTTCAGGATTTAAACTCGGGGAAGATGATTGACAGTGCTAAGGAGAGTGGGGGACTCTACTACCTTGACATTGGATCTGCATCACAACTACCTTTAACAATAAGTTCTTGCTTTTGAGTCTTTTTCTATTTTGAATAATAAAGATGACAATATTACGGTATGGCATTTAAGATTAGGTCATCCTAGTTTTCGTTATTTAAAACACTTGTTTCCTAAGTTATTTCACAATAAAAATTTTCTTCGTTTAAATGTGAAGCATGTGAGTTTGCAAAGCATCATCGTTCTCACTTTTCAATACAACCTTATAAAAGCATCATCAAAACCGTTTTTTATTATTCACAGTGATGTTTGGGGCCTAACCATACTAGTACACTCTCTCTCAAAAAATGATTTATCACATTTGTAGATGACCATACAAGAGTATGTTGGGTGTACTTATTAAAGGGGAAATCAGATGCTTGCCAGGCTGTAAAGAATTTTTTGTCAATGGTGTAAGAACCAATTTCAAACAAATATCCAAGTTTTTAGAAGTGATAATGGCAAAGAATATTTTAACACTATCCTGGAGGATTTTTTTCTAAAAAATGCGATTGTACATCAAAGTTCATGTCCTAATACTCCTCAACAAAATGGAGTGGCCGAAAAGAAAAATACACATTTTTTGGAGGTTGCTAGAGCTCTACTTTTTTCGAATAAAGTACCAAATTATTTGTGGGGCAAAGCTGTTTTTTAACAGCTGCGTATTTAATTAAAAGAATGCCCTCCAAAATTCTCAATTTTCAAACTCCAATTAATATCTTCAAAGAATGTTTTCCTAGTACTCGTATTTTAACTGATTTGACTTTAAAAATCTTTGGTTGCACAGCTTTTGTTCATGAACATAAAAATGTTGGAAAACTTGAGCCACGTGCTATAAAATGTGTCTTTGTTGGATACTCCTCAACTCAAAAAGGATATAAATGTTTTGATCCAAAAAACAAGAAAATGTTTATCACTATGGATGTTACATTTTTTGAAAATAAACCCTTCTTTGATGACACTCATCTTCAAGGGGGGAGATAAAGGAAGACTCGTTTCAAATTGAGGACATGAGTTTTTTTGAAAAATTTATCTTTGCCTGTACCACAAAATTCTGAGACTTTTACATCTGCACCAACAGAAAATGGTCATGATTATGTATCTGATCCTACTCCTGTTATGAGTAAGGAGCCTTGTGAATCCGAGCCTACATTTTCTCTTGTAGAAAACAATGAGAATCCTGAAAACGATGATGATAATATAATTGAAATGCCACAAAATAATGAGTCACTTCAAGAAAACAGATTCGAATTAGAAAACAGGACTTGGAAAGGGAAGGTTTTTATGAAAAAGTACCATAAACGAAGGGACGAGTCCACATCTCAACACTGTCAGGAATCTAAACTGGGGAATGATCAACCTTCTAACAAAAGGAAAGGTAAGTCTATCTCTGTTTCTGAGAGTCGTATTTTGTATCCTGATATAAATGATCCTGTTGCCATTAGAAAACCTGTCGGATCTTGCACTAAACACCCCATGTCCAATTTTATTTCATATTCAAATTTCTCTTCATCTATGTCTGTCTTCGCCTCAAAATTGTCTAGTGTAGAAATTCCAAAAAGTGTACAGGTTGCTCTAGAAATTCCAAAGTGGAGAGAAGTTGTACTTGAGGAGATGAAAGCTCTTAAAAAGAACAAAACTTGGAGTGTTACGTCACTACCAGATGGCAAGAAGACAGTTGGATACAAATGGGTGTTTACTGGGAAGTATAATTCAGATGGGTCAATTGAAAGGTACAAGGCTCGCTTGTTGGCTAAAGGCATCACTCAGACCTATGGTATAGACTACTCAGAGACATTTGCTCTTGTTGCAAAATTGAACACTATAAGAATTATTTTATCTCTTGCTGCTAACCTGGATTGGCCCCTACATCAGTTAGATGTTAAGAATGCATTTCTTAATGGTGATCTAGAAGAAGTATATATGGACATTCCTCCTAGTTTTGAAAACAAATTTGGATCAAATGCATTCAAACTAAATAAGTCTTTGTATGGATTAAAGCAGTCTCCCAGAGCTTGGTTTGAAAAATTCACTCAGTCCATGAAGAATCAAGGGTACATTCAAGGATAGGCTGACCACACCTTGTTCACAAAATTCTCCAACGATTGGAAAGTTGTTGTTCTGATTGTTTATGTTAATGATATTGTTCTTACTGGAGACGATACAGTGGAAATGGCAAGGGTAAAAGAGAAATTAGCAGTAGACTTTGAAATCAAGGACTTGGGGTTCATGAGATATTTTCTAGGCATGGAGGTTGCTCGGTCAAAGAATGGTATTGTGGTTTCACAGCAAAAATACATTCTAGACTTATTGAAAGAAACAGGAATGAGTGGATGTCGTCCTGCAAATACCCCTATGGATCCTAATGCTAAACTTTGGGGAGAAGGTAATGTTCCTGTTGATACTGGAAGATATCAGAGATTGGATGGGAAACTGATTTATTTGTCACACACCCGACCTGATATTGCTTTCTCAGTCAGTGTAGTGAGTCAGTTTATGCATTCTCCTTTCGAATAACATCTTGAGGCAGTCTATAGGATACTGAGATATCTGAAGAGAAATACTGGAAAAAGATTATTTTTTAAGATTAGTGAAAGGAATGTGTCTATCTTCACCGATGCTGATTGGGCAGGTTCAGTCACCGATAGAAGATCAACCTCTTGATACTGTACCTATGTTTGGGGTAATCTTGTGACATGGAGGAGCAAGAAACAAGACGTTGTAGCAAGGAGTAGTGCAGAAGCCGAGTTTAGAGCTATGTCTCAAGGTATTTGTGAAGGATTATGGATCCTTAGAGTCTTAGAAGAACTTAAGATGAAAGTTGAGCTTCCATTGAAATTGTACTCTGACAGTAAAGCTGCTATTAGCATAGCTCATAATCCAGTTCAACATGACAGAACCAAGCATATTAAGATTGATCGACACTTCATAAAGGAGAAGTTAGATGCTAGAATCATATGTCTACCTTTTGTGACTTCAAGTCAACAAACTGCGGATATCCTGACCAAAAGTTTGGCAAAACCTACCTTTGAGCATTTGATAGACAAGTTGGGCATGATAGATATCTATACACCAACTTGAGGGAGGGTGTTGGAAAATATTTTATTTCCATATTTAATTGTTTACGTTTATTGTCATTTATTTTCTTTTATTCTCCATTAAGGAGAGAATTAACTATTTTTATTGTATTCTCATTATATAAACCAGCCTTTGACTGAGGAATAAAATTACAACAGCTTTTATCTATTTCTTCTAATAGTTAGTCAGTTCATGTATTGTCCTAAAGAAATCAATTTACAAGTTGTTCATAGAATTCTGCAGTATCTCAAGAGAACTCCAGGAAGAGGAATTTTGTTCAAAAGAAATGGAAAGACAACCCTTCAGGCCTATATTGATGCAGATTATGCAGGTTCAATTGTTGATAGAAGATCCACTACAAGGTACTGCACCTTTCTTGGAGGAAATCTTGTGACTTGGAGGAGTAAGAAGCAAAATGTAGTAGCACGTTCTAGTGCTAAAGCTGAATTTCGAGCCATGACACAAGGCATTTGTGAATTACTTTGGCTCAAAATTATTTTAGAAGATTTGAAAATCAAATAGTAAGGACCCATGAAACTCTAATATGATAATAAATCAGCTATCAGTATAGCACATAATCCAGTTCAACATGATCGAACTAAGCATATTGAGGTTGATAGACACTTCATCAAGGAGAAGCTTGATAGTGGGCTGATTTGCACCCATTTGTGTCCTCACAAGGGCAACTTGCGGATATTCTCACTAATGGATTGAGTAGCTCAAATTTTGAACGAATTGTATCCAAGCTAAGAATGAAGAATACTTATTCACCAGCTTGAGGGGGAGTGTTGGAAATAGAAAAAAATACATTGTATGTTTCCCACTAAAATGAGCATTTAAGTCTTAGATTCATGTATATTTAGATTCATGCATTTAGGAAATTGGACTATTATTCATTTCTCCTTGTAAACATAATATGTATTTAATTATATAGTGTGTATAAATATCATAGTTGCTGAGTGTTTTATTCACTCAAACATATTCAGAAAATTTCTTATTTCTATTTTTCACATATACAAATTAAAGAAAATAAAATAAAACTTAAGTAAACTTTTCACCACATTGATGCAAGGAAAATCACCAACATGGAAAAAAGAAATAAGGAAACACTGCAATGGAATCTGTCTTACCAGGCTAAGGAAAAATGCACTGATCCCTGAGAAAAGCTTACGGTTTCTGTCAACAAAGTCAGCGACATCTGTAATGCAAATTTGATCAAGAAAAGTAGTTTCCACAAATATCATGTTATTGCAGAGAAAAATGGAGAGGCAACACTAAACGAGAACGAGACATTCCCTTAAATAAAGAGGAGTATTATAATTTCTTCGGAGGGAGTGGTGGGGGGAAAGTTTAACAGAATGTACATGTGAATAAGGCCAAGGGGGAAAAGAGTCGGTGAGCGAGTGAATCAGCTCTGATTTTCTCTTCTGCAGCATTATAATAGAAACTAACAGGTATAGAACAAGAGTTAAAAGAAGATCCTAGTTTACAGTGTGAAGAATTCCGCCTTCATTGCGGTCTGCCCCTAGCCGCCTAATTGCGGCGTTTTGGTTGCCTTCTTGCAACCTCCAACACCTTCATTGTGTTGGATATGAAAGGGTGGATTTAGTTTCACATTGTCTAGAGATATGGTACGGCTAGTGTTTATAAAACTTAGGAAAGCCCTCAACCCAAATTCTAAGACTAACACTAACCCATTAACCAACAAACTTCTTAACTACAATAACATGCCTCTCAACTTCTCTTTGAAATTTATTAAGCCCTTTCATATTTTAAGGAGGCTTCTATGGTCACATTTTTAAGATTAGGAGCATTTAGCTTTTATACAGTATAAATTATAATAAAGTAAATACGCTTTCAAATGGGGTTTCCCTAAAAGATGTCTTTAGGGATTGACCATCAACTCTATATGGATATATTTTATCAGTTGTTATGTGTTATGTTTTTATGAATTGAGGGATTACATTGTTATGTGTTTTTGTTATGTGTTGCAACAAAGACTTCTAGAAAACTGCATTACGATTTCATTCTCACTACTTATCATTTCTTCATAAAATAATGACAATCACTTTTTTCTGTCAAAATAAGTGATAAACAAACTGTTCAGACAAGCATAGAAAATAGGACACACCTTTAAAAGATTCACGAATAACCTGCCCATTCAAAGCAATGAAAAATATTAAAATACTTTTAACAAATTGAGTGTAACGCAATAATTTGAGCGCCGACCTGAGACAAAATTCAAACTGTTGACAAGACATACAAATGCATATTATAGCATCATATGTTTACGACAAAATGAAATGATACTACAAAATTAATATGGTCAACAGGTAAAAGATTAAATACCGAAAACTATATCTGCAATCAAGAAACAAGAAAGTGGCAAGATAGGATATTTGAAGAGTTATTTTGAATAATACGGCCAATATATTGGCTCAATTCTTCAACTTTAATTTGGTAACTTATACAATTTAACACCCATGCCCAAATCACACCACCTATTGCTTGCAATAATACTTGTTTCTAAAGAGAATTGAAGGTCATTTTAGAGAGCATTGAATTTTGAAAATGTATAATCCATAAAAATATTCAATATTCATGGGGGTGTAGGTGTTAGATAAAAACTATCCATGTGCTTTCACGTAATATCTTTCAGGATATTTGACTCATGACATGATATCAAAGTTTATATCAAAAATATTTCAGAGTTTGCTCCTTGTTGGCACCAGACCCATTCATCTAAATAAGTGTGAGTTTCATCAAAAGGTTTGAGTGTTGTGCTTAAGCTGTTCAAACTTTAAGCCCAAAGAGCTCTTGCATAAGTGGGGTTTGCAAAGATCAGCATCACAACTTAAGAAAGTGAAACAACTTCATAAACATAAAGAAACATAGCAGTAAGTTCACAGAAGGAGGGCATATTTTTGCAGTTCAGAACCACGACGCTTCTAAAGTATTCAAACAATAGTATATTCTGTATCAAAGATATGTGAAAGAGAAAACTGAATTACCTTTCCCAAAATAAGGGGGAATAATATGGTAAGAACAAGACTTTTAAATAACTGATTGGTGGGTAAAGTCACTCCAACTCCACTAGCTACAAATTTTGTGATGGAAAATGGAACCTAGAAGAAGATAAACTATTGTCATAAAATACGACAGTGAAACCAATAATTAGATTAGATAGAGAAAACAATATGGAGACTAAAACTTTCATGTTTAAAAAGATAGTAAAAAAGAAGGATAAATAAAATCACAATCAAACCAGTTGAAATGATAGGAACTTGATGAAAAATGAGAAAAGAGACCAAACATTATTAATTGAAGATATGACATGAAGTATACAAGGTTGAAGCAAAACGCTGACATACTCTCTTGTTTATACTAATTATTAAAGAAAACCATAAGAAGAATACAAAAAGGAACGTCTCACTATTTTTAGTCTTCATGTGTCTATGTTATACCGAAAAATAAATATCACTACAGGAAATATAGGTTCTTACCAACAATGTAGTATATAATAACCTAATAAGCACATATATAAATAACTATACACTAACACAAGGGAAGGTTACTAAATAACTCTCAAACTCTAATAATGGTTAAGCTAGCCTGAAAAGCTGGAAATTGTACCCAAAGCTGCCAACTATACCAGAGGCTTCTCCTAACAATTGTAATACAATAGTACACTTCAAACTTAAAAAATCACTACCTAAATTGTGCATTAAACTTGTTATCAGTTTGTAGTTGTTACCTTAGCTCATTTTACTAGTATAATCCACTTTTAAGCATTTTCGGATCTATGGGCCAAACTTTTGTCACTCTTCTATTATAAACTGAGATAGTAAGCTAGCTAGTTGTGCTAGTCACTACGAAAAGGTGTCTTTATCTGAAAAAAAAACCGTCTCATCAAAGAATATTCAACCAATGAGCCTGAAGGGGCAGTGGTTTGCAGAACAGTGGATAGAAAGACCCGGAAAGGATAGAGAAGTTGTAAAGAGTGTTTGACACGGTGAAAATCCTACTGAATTTAGTGGAAACTAGATGTGACCGTGGTGGACAAGGGAAACCAGTATATGCCCACGGCCCGCCAAGTTTGATTTATTTATCCTTCTCTGTTATGTTATGCTTAGATGGTTGTTTACTGGCTTAAGTTAGAAAATGTTGTTTAGTACATTTGGAAAGAACCCTATTTTCCATAATCCTAATGGTGATGATTATGAAACCTGTATTGTATAATCACTCAAAGCATACTCAAGGTCAGATTTCATCTTATCATATGATATCAAAGGCTGAAATGAAGATACTGAGTTGAAGTTCTGCAAATGCAATGTCTACATTACAGGTATGTTCATGAAGATGAATCCTAATTGCTAACAATTGTTGTTTTTACTTTTGTGATAAACTTCAAGCCCAAGAAATTTCGGAGTAATAAGGAGGAGTTGGAGGTTATTTATGATATTCCTAGAGTTGTGTTTCGAGTCCACAAATCCAAGCACTAGTTAATGAAGCAAGACAGATAAGGAATACATCCTTAAAAATATGTTCATGGTATATTACAACTCTTGGCTTTTCTATAATAGGAAGCGTTGTGTTAGTTGCAAAGTGTGAGCACAAAGATTAGAGAAGATTTCTTTCATCTTCTTACTCCTAAGATCCTAAGCCAGCCACACTTACGTTTTTAGGCAGGATCCAATATTTTCTATCAAAATTCAAAATAGATTCTCAAGTTTTTTCTTTCCACTCAATTCCTAAAACTTCAACACAACATTTGATTATTCTGCAAAAAAAAAAAACTTAACAAAACAATGCAAAACAAATTTAAAATTGAGATGATTGATAAATAAGTAACAATTCAAGACTCACGATTAATATTCCTAACAAATTAGATATTACAGTCATTGCAAGAGCCAGTGCAGAATTTGCCCCAGCAAGCTGCAGGATAGAAGTAGCAAAATTAAGAATTTAAGATAAAAACAAACTGCATTGCAAGTGCTAGAAACAAGGTATATATAAACTTATAGGAATAGAAAATATAAAACAAAAAAAAAGGAAAGAAAAAAAAAAGTAACTGAAGAAAGAAAAGAACATAATCATTACTTGGGTAAGAGCAACACCACTTGATAATGTAGTTGGCATACAGCAAAATATGGCTAGCCCTGTTTAAAGCCAGAAAACTTGTATCTTGAATAACATGGAAATTGGTGACTATTAGAGCAATTGTGATAAAATAATACATAAATAAGAGCCATAAGTCGTTTGAAATTTGCAAAATATGAGATCAAAATTGAGAGAGAAAGAAAGAGATGTTGTTTTAGGTTTATAAAAGTTCTAAAAGTAGCTTCCACCTTTTCAAGAATAGTGAGATAGCATGGTGGTACCGGAGTAATAAGTAGTAACTTGTTGGGAAATTTTAGCATAGATATCAGGCTACCATCAAGTAAAGTATTGGTAGCACTCAACATAGAAGACATTCACTTCTTCCATGATTGGGATTTTTTGAGAGTAAAGCATAGAGGTATCCTTTTTGTAAGAATGTGGTGGGGCAATTGGTTTTAGCATTGTGGGATTATTCAAAGATATAGATAGATGAACAAGGCTCATCTAGAGCGAGTGTGGCTGTAATGTGCAGAAAAGTGCATCCAAATATAATTAAAAATACATCAAAATTTTAAAAGTTAAACCATTAAAATTCAAGGGGGAAAATGTTTTGACTACTTTACCGACAATCTTAATTCAGAGAACTATTTACTAGAATGGCAAACTTTGCAACTTGCAGGCTTATAAGAAGTACAAATGCACAATTTGTATGACAAAAGGCCTATGAAAATGGCTAACATTGACTTATGCTTAGAGTAGAATTAAATGGCTAAACCTGTAATAAATTCTTGCGGTTGGAGTTGAACTTGCAATATTATCCTGGAAAAGTATGGTGTAAGAAATAAAATAGATACCTGTATGTAGAACAAAAGAGCATGTTACATTTTCAGACATTAAAAAAAAAACAAAGAAAAAAAAACTTGCGCTAATGTTTCTGAAACGTGCAAATATAAAAGAATAAGTTTTGCCTATAAAAAAAGCAACTTTTGAGATGATCCATATTTGATATAAAGCAATGGTGTAGATAGGCATCCAAATCTTGAAACCATTGATCAATAGTCATGTGAAACCAAGAGATGGAAGGTTTTTAAGAGAAGGCCAAAAGTTAGTAATGCGGGTCTTGAAGCCATACATACTAAAAGTCGGGAGTTGGTTACGAAAGTGAGGTCTGTGGAGCATAAGGAGTGTGAGTTAGTGTAATATTGTGAGCAGCAATGTATCATGTACTGGATGGATATTATGGTAGTTTTGGAGTGAGAGCATGTATTGTATCTGTTGTTAGGGAAAGTGTCTCTCTATAATGATCCGTATTTTTGGAAACGTCTCTACTGATTGTTTTTCTCTTTAACTTTCCATATTATAAACAAATCACTCACTATATTTCTATTTCCACAGAATCTGTGTTTTAGAAAACTAACATGGGTCAGTTGAGCAATCTGGCAGAACCTACCTGCACGATAAAACTTAGTAGTTTGCTATTGCTATTGTATTACAAAAAGATACATACAGGCATACAGCAATGAACCTTACAAGTCAAGAGTTCTATTCTTGACCATAAAAATAAAGACTCAAAGCCGCCATTATAAGAAATTCCTTTATTTCCTTGCACGAGATTGCTGATAATGTTTGACGGGGTGAAAATATGCATCTTATTAGTTGTATTTTGGTTACTTTAAGGGGAAAAAAATTAAACATAGGTGGTTTTTATATGTCAAACAAACACATACAATTTGATCATAAATTTGAAGCAACATGGTGTAACACTCCAGTTAAACAGAGATTCCAAGCACAGACATGTCAATCAAATCTAGGCAAGCATTTCCAAACAAGGCTGTAGTGGACCAGTCTACAAAAATAAAAGTGCATACATACTAGCCCAAAGAGTCCAACAGGCCATGCTTCTACAGCTGCACCAATTTCTTCACTTCGCAACACCAAACCTACAAGATAAACCAGGCAGTAGAACCCAGAACACTTAGAGACTTCTTTCATAAAATCAAAACAGCGTATAGCTGCAAAAGATTAGCCTACAAGTTACAACATTAACCTGAGATAACAAAAATTCCAAATGGCCCAATTTTGGACACATGATATTTGTCAACAGCACAACCAAGACTAGGATATGTTAATCCTAACGTCACCGCAGCAATCAAAGCTACAAATGGCATCAAAAGAAAACAAACAACACTGCTAAGTTATCCCTTAGAACACAATGAAGTCACAAAATAATGAAATAGAAAATTTGAAAGCATAGAAAGACATATAGGCACCTAAGGGTAAAACATTGCCCCTAGCAAATCTCGAAATGGGTTCCGCCCAACTCAGTCTTTTTGTCTCTTTGCTTCCACTATCACTACCATCCATCTGAATATAAATTTGTTAATGAAAAAGTACTGTTTCAATTCCTTCAAATGTATTTTGTTTCCTTTTCGCTGAAGCTTATAATCACGACCATGAAGGAGAAATGGAACCTGATGGGATTGAGCACAGGCTCTGAAGGGAGATGGGATACAAACACCAGGGCGTAGAGTGAGGGGTTTAACCGCTGAGTGAAGATGACGGCGGGAAGCGAGAAATGGAGGACTTCGACGAGGGAACGAGGATGTGGTGGCGGAGTGCGGCGTGAGGATGAGTAAATGGGCGGTTCCCGCCATGAGCTCCGTCGAGTGGTGTAACGGCGACTAGTTGTTGGGTGACATGACACTCCGGAGATGAATGAATGAATGGTGGGAACGAACAAGGAGCCAATTGTGGTCAAGTGGAGTGGGGGAACCAACCAGATTTTAATTAATTATTACAGGGAAAATGACATCAAGGGTAATAAAATGGTGACAAATCCAAGAATACAACTTAGCACAAAGGAAATCCTTTCATACCAAAACTTACGAGGGATACATTAGTAATACCAATGGAAATAGTCTCCTCTAGTCTTCTTTGCAAATTACTGCGCTGAATTTTTAGTAGTTATCATTTTGTTTATATATCAAAAAAACAAATTAATGTTAAAAAATAAAAATCATACAAAAATTAAAGTGCAGAAAATTTTTATACAAAATATCTCAAACTATGTTTTATTAGACCACCTCCAACTATGATTTTTTAAATTGGTTTGTCAGCATGGCATTGAAATTGTCAATAAAAAATTGTTCTAGCGGGTGAACGTTACAAACATAAGCAATAGTTCTTCATTTTTTTTATTATTAAAATAATCATTTAGCCGTTGTGCAACGGCTTTATTTTATTTTTTTTAACTTTTTTTATTTATTATAAATATAGGTTTGTTGGAAAAATTGTATATCAATCATATTTTCTCTCACTTTTATTTACTCTTTAATTTCAAATTTCTCTCTCACAATTTCGTCATTTTATTCATAAATATTTAATTTTTTTTCCAACAATTTCTTCTCATTATCATTTTATTTCAAATTTTCATCTTTTTATTTCAAATTACATTTGTTTAGGCCAAATGGATCCTAATCATTTTCATTATCAACAAGCTATGTTCAATTTCATGCAAAATTATCAAAATTCTAATTCTCAAAATTCTCAAATTCCATTCGTACCACCAAACGCCGTTGTCGCTTGCGCGAAAATAAGGTGCCGGCATGACAGAAGAGTCGTCACCTTTCGTTATTTATCCCTCAGAGCAGGAAAGGAAACGATCGGAAAAACCTGACGAAAAAGGGTAAGACAAGGTCATCGCAACCATTGTCTGGGTTCGGGAGTCGGTTACGCAAGGGGAAGGTATTAGCACCCCTCACGTCCGTCGTACTCGACGGGATCCACGCTTGTTTGTTTACTTGGACGGGTTGGTTTTATTCTATCTACCTATCAAGGCTGGCTGAAAAAGAAAAGAAAAATGACTCGGCAAAGCGTCGCACTTTATGCATACGTATTCTCATCAGAGAATGAGAAATCAGAGTCAACGTAGTTCGGACTACGAAGGGGTATGGGGGAACGTAGCTCGCCAAGACTTCGCCATCTTGTGCCTACGTACTCTCAACAGGCATGAGAGATCATAGCTCACGTAGTTCGGGAAACTACGGTTTATTTCCTGTTTTGAAAGAAGTGTTTTTTATTGTGTTTGCGATTTCAACCGCACTAGAGACTATGACCTGAGAGTGAATGCGTCGCATGTCACCCAAAGGGTACCATACTAAACATCCAGACTGTGGAAAAGGAACTCTCCCACAATCCTTTCTCAGATAGCTTAAGGCTCGTAACGTACGAAAGAAATCATTCATGATTACTGTATCTTAAACTGTTTTGAGATGAGAAGAGAACAGGCCCAACTAGGAGGGAGACTATCAAGTCCTACTGTTATCATGCCATGGATTCATCCTATGGTTGAGGTTTGAACAGGGAACTCCTAGAAGTTGTCATGCATAGGTTTCAACCTAAAAGTCTATCATCAAATCCTTATCAAAGGAAATGAGAGTCCTAAGGGATCATGTCAATGATACACCAAAACAGACAAAACATCAGCTTAACAGTAAAATGCATGCAATGCAAGTGAGGGAGGAAATGTGTGTGGGGCTTCAGCCTCCACAAGCTCATCTCAACCTCAAGCCAGTCATGAAATTACAGTAATCATACTGAAAAATAAACAACATGCTATCAAGCAATAAACAGTAAACTGCAGTCATACAGATAAAAGAAATGAAATACCATCCATGCTTGAGAAAGAAATTATCTACATCTAAGCTCTCCCTAATCCTAACCCTAAAAACAAAACCCTAATCTACCTCTAAGCAAAGCCCTAAAGCAAAACCCTAATCAAAAGAAATCAATCCCAGTCTTCAAGCTTCAAAACAAGCTTACCAAAGAAAGGGAGCTAAGTAGGCAGACTCATAGTGCCTTCCTCAGGAAAGCACTAGGAGGCTTATACTTAGGACTCATATCCCATGTGGCTCAACAACTGTGATCGGTTTATGTTCCTCCTCAGGAGAAACTAAACTCACATGAAGGCTCCAACATCATTGGATACTTTAGAAATCCTACATGAACTAAGGGAACTAAGTGAACAGACCCATAGTGCCTTCTTCAGGAAAGTACTAGGGGGCTTCCACTTAGGAATCATATCCCATGTGGCTCAACAACTGTGATCAGTTTACATTCCTCCTCAGGAGAAACTAAACTCACATGAAGGCTCCAACATCATTGGATACTTGAGAAATCCTACATGAACTAAGGGAACTAAGTGAACAGACCCATAGTGCCTTCCTCAGGAAAGTACTAAGGGGCTTCCACTTAGGAATCATATCCCATGTGGCTCAACAACTGTGATCAGTTTACATTCCTCCTCAGGAGAAACTAAACTCACATGAAGGCTCCAACATCATTGGATAATTGGGAAAGAGGTGAGAAGAGAGAATGAAAGACATCCATAGTGCCTTCCTCAGGAAAGTACCATGAACTTCCCTCAAACTTCAGGATCTCAAAACCTCACAAACAGAGAACAAGCTCCTAGGCTAGGACCCAATCCATGCATCCTTACAAGCTCCAACCTCTCAACCTCTGGGTCTTGATCTTCAATCTTCTACTTCATCATGCTCCTTCAACAAGGTCTTCAAAGCAAACCAAGCCCCACAACAATTCCCCAAAGATAAACCCCAAAGATGGACAATCAACACAAAACATGCCACACAAACAGTCCATTCAGAAAATACTCTGAAAATACTAAAGACAAGGGGGAAGATCTAATGCTTATTCACAAGGGTCTATTATACTTATCCATAATATCCCTATAGTCCCATACCCAAAAATCAAGTCAAAAACTCCTAAAAGAAAATGATTTACTTCACCTATGTCACACCTAAACCCTAATTTTGATCACTCTAATCTCACTTAATCAAACCATCTAAAAATTAATCCTAAAATTATGAATTAAATCCTATGAGGAAGCTAAAGTCCTAAGTTAATCACCCTAAAAAGAATGGACCCTAAATCTAAGGGGAGCTAATTGAACTAAAATCAACAAAATGGGGTATCAACTAAATCATCTAAAAAAGTTGTTTAAAAGAAAAATATGCTAAAAATATAAAAAATAAAAATAAAATGGAATTTTATTTTTCACTAATTTTCTAGACAGAAATATGAACCTAATGCAAAAACAAGAAATGAAAAATATTAATTTTCTGATTTTATATGATTTATTGAAAATGCTAAAAATGTTAAAGAAAATAAAATAAAAAGTAAATGAATTAAAAGGGGAGGGGGGTGTCAAAATTAATGCGCTCAGTTGTTTTTGCTGGATGGGCCAGAAGATGGTGGTGCGAATATCAAATGTATTAGGCCCACTATGCAATCAGAATTTGAATTAAAAATTAAAAAGAAAAAGGATACGCGCGCGGTGCAATTAGCAACTGATTATAGTTAAAAACTGGATGGGCTTCAGTATGGGTGTGCGTATAGCAAATCTGATCCAGGCCCATGGTTGCAGCTTTAGTGAAACGCTGCGTTGCAGCTTAGGTCTTTCCCTCCGTTTTTCATTTTGAATAACAGCCGTTGGATTGAGTTTCAGAGTCAACATTTCACCCTAATCTAACGGCTCCTGGGTCGTCTTCCCCATTCAACCTAGAGTTTTCAGAAAACCCCAACTCCATGCATGGACCTTCAACCCGTTCGTTCTCTCTTGATTCTTAATGAAATCCAAAACTTTAAAGACCTAAATTAATCTACTAACTCCAAGGAATCCAACCATATTAATGGTTTTAATTGAAACCCCCTAGAACTCCAAACCCGATAGCATGAAATCCCTGGTTCACCAACTTTACACTGCAATGGACTCTCACGATTCTTGGTTCTAATGGTACTAACATGTTCATCATGTTACCCTAATCACATTAAGCTATAACATGCTGATTAAAACCCAACATACGACTTATTATTGAAATTGAAAGAGAACATGACCTGCCATAGAACCTCACACAGAGCTATCTAATTCTCAAGAAATGGTCAACTATCTTATCCTAACAAGTCTATACCTAAAAATCTAACAGAAAGCATATAATTAATGAGATGTGGAGAAGAATACCAACCTGTCAAGTAGTGATGGTAGAGGTGTGTAGAGATGGTTTCAGTGTTTGCTATCTCTTCCAAGTGACCCTTTAATGGTGTGTATGATTCTGTTTGCAATGGTTTTGATGTGAGAAGCTTGTAGAGGTCCACACGATTCTTGCTTGTTCTTGAAGGAAGCTTGGAATTCCACTCTCTCCCTTACTCTCTCCACTGATTTTTTCTAACCTCTTACTTCATTGTGATCCACTTGTTATATAATAATCAAAAGAAAAGTCTAGAACCACCTAGAATCCACTAGAATGTGATGGAACTTCTCACTTGGTGACATGTTGTATTATCTCATCTCATGTGTTAAGCTCCTTAGTTTTGTGTTAAAATCTCCTTACAAGAGATATTGAGATGGTATGTGCAAAAAACAAGCATTTCCTTGCCTTGTGTGAAGTTTTCCAAAGTTGCCTTAATATGCAAGTAACAACATTACAAAGCAAGTCCAATTTCTAGGCCTCAAATCAAAATTGTGCCTAAACCATTGTTTCCAAAATGTTGTTTAGATTCAAAATGACATATTACATGACCTATTTTGGATTTGTAGATCTCTCAAACCATTTTCCAATTTGAACTTATTTAACTTATA